ACACATGCAACCAAATAGGATCTATGTCTTCACATTAAGGAAACATACTTTGAAAAACAAAACCTATGATGAACCCTAGTAATTTCGAAAATCACAAAGTGGAGTTACATACCTTAACTTGCTATAGCAAACAAGTTAGTTGTTTCCTTCCTTGTAGACTTGAGAAGCAAGCACCAAATGTTTAGTGCCTCTAATGGTTTGTACCCAAACCCTAGCAACAAAAACACAAGAGGAGAAAGGAGGAGATGCAAAATTTTGGCTCTTCTAAAGGAGATATGGTGGACGAAATCACGGCACCCAAAGGGTCCTATTTATACCTAATAAGGTAACCCTGACAACCCTAATCCTGAATAAGATAATATTATTTAATTCCAGGTGGTTATCCAGTTTCCTTATCTTAGAAGGAATATTCCAAATGCCCTTTTGGCATCTAAAAAAGCGTCCACCCTAGTGGAAGGTTCCAAAATTCCTTCTTGTTCAACTATTAAACAATTACAGTCCAGTCTTTGCCCCTTTAATTAATTCTAATTAACCTATAATTAAATCCTAATTAATTCTGATTAATTCTTAATTAATTATAACTATTTCAAATTAATATATTAATCATATAATATATTAATAAATCAACTTCTCTCTCCAAATGTTATTCTATTCAGTTACTAGTTTTGAGGGCAACCCAAAAAGGATTTTGCTTCTAACTACAAGTCATACCAATTTAGTTATAGGCTTCGACACCTTAATTCAAAAAAGATCTCCATTGGTTCTTTGCTGATTGGTACAACTCCAAGATCACCGATGAAGTTCTTTAACAATGTAGCTTCATCTGCTGCTTTACTAACTATAATATACTTTGACTCGCACATTAAGTCTGTCACTGTCTTCTTCTTGGAACTTTTCCATGTAACTGCCCCTCCATTTAGCAAGAACACCCAACCTGATTGTGAATACGAGCTGTCCCTGTTAGTCTGGAAACTTGCATCAGTATAACCTAACTCGCAACTATTTTCTATCTCCATATACTAAGAACATATCCTTATTTCCTTTTATATACTTGAGGATATTCTTTATGGCCGTCCAATGACTATCACCAAGATTTTTTTGATATCGACTCATCATGCTCAAAGCATATTAGATATCAGGTCTAGTACATGTCATGTCATACATGATCGATAGAATAATATGATCATATGGGACTTGAATCATTCTTTCCAGTTCTTTAGTAGTACTGGGTGATTGATCCTTCTCAATCTTATGACGTGTTGTATGGGTAGATACCTTTTCTTAGAATCTTGCATTTTGACTCTTTTCAAAACTTTATCTAAGTATGTACTTTAGCTTCCCTTCAAAATATGAAACAAATATCCATGCACCCAAAAAACTCAGCTCCAAAATAATCCAAATCATCGATTTCTATATATCGATTTCCATCCACCATCGAATTCTATAAAATGATAGTTTTCAATCGATTTCCCAGAAAAGTAGCTTCGATATCCCACCAAACAATCGTTTTCTATACAACCACTTCATCTTGTAGGGCTTGTATCTCAATTCGGTTCCTCAAGCTTCAATAAGTCGATAATCTTGTTCAATCAAGTTATTCTTTGTCCAATTTATATGATCTGAGTGTGGGAAAAGCGATTTCAAAGTAGGTTTTCATGATCATGAGTATATGACTATGCTTTTTATCTAGGGTGTGGGGCCCAAATCACACCACACCATAGTTGGTGTGCTCACAACGTTGTCATGGGAAGAGAAGAGGAGAAAGAAGGAAGAACTAAAATATAAGAAACGCGACCTCTCATAAAAGAGCACAGCAACCAACGACCATGGTGCCATATAAACACAATGCCACCCCAGGGTGGTGTGCACAATCGTTGTCCTCCTCTAGCTCATCACCACGACACCTTTGTTGTAGGTATTCCTGATGGCCTTTATAGTTAATATAATTGTTAATGGATGTGATTCGAGACCTAAAACCATGTTTAGATAATTTGATATCTTCAAATCAAAAATATATTTACCTAGTAATATATGTCGAATCACAAATAATACTACATTCTTTGAGATATTTTCAAAAGATGCGTGGAAAAACTTAAGTGATTAAGCTACCATTGTTTATACTTAAGGAGTCATTAACATGACTATTGCCTCATAAAGTAAATATATATATATATATATATATATATATATATATATATATATATATATATATATATATATATATAATATATATATATATATATATATATATATATATATATATTCCCTATATAGGTTTAGGTTCTATGGAAAACAAAAAAACCCTAAAAATCATAAAAATGCATAAAAAATACTTAGAGATCACAAAAAAAAAATTTGAATTTTTTTATCAAAAAATCGCAGCTTTTAACATAAAATCGCTGAAAATTTTTTTGAAAAAAAAAACTTTACAAAAAAAAAATTGATTTTTTTTTCAGCGAAATTGTCAAAAAAACTACGATTTTTTGATAAAAAAATTCAAAAAAAAAGTTTTGTAATGTCTAGGTATTTATTTATGCATTTTTATGATTTTTAGGGTTTTTTTAGGGTTTTTTTTTTCCAAATAACCATTCCCTATATATATATATATATATATATATATATATATATATATATATATATATATATATATATATATATATATATATATATATGACTTTTTTTTGGGTGGTAGTTTTTGGGTCTACCTGTGATTGTCTGTCGGGTGGAAAGGATCGACACATGATACATGACTATTCCTTCATGCAATTGAGACACGCCTTCTATGAGTTTTCCTAAGCCCCCGGAAGGTATAACTATTCTGACACTTGTTTATAATTTTTGAATTAATCGTCATTTTAATTTGATTTTTCCTTATCTTTTTTTCATATAGGGAAATATGACATCATAGACAAAGGATACCCTGGCCAAAAAGGATATATGACACCGTATCCACATATTAGATATCATGCAATTAAGACGCTTTCTATCAATTTCCCTAATCCCCCATAAGGTATAACTAGACTGATACTTGTTTATAATTTTTGAACTAATCACCATTTTCCATATAGGAAAATATTACATCGTAGACAAATGTATAATAGACAAATGTATAACTACTCTAATACTTGTTTATAATATTTTTCATATGGAATGAAAATTTTTTTAGTGAAACATAAATAGTTAGAAAATTGTTTTTTACTATTTACTTAATTAAATTTAATGTGTTGTGTATTTATCTTATACTATTTGACTTATTTTTATACATGTCATTTTATATTTTACACAAGCTTATCAGCTAGTTTTTATGAAATGTCTTTTTTATTTCGGGACCTTCTGGTATATTCTTGAACCATCAAAGGGTTGTTAGTATGTTCTAGAACCTTCAAATATATTGCATTATATTATATATCATTCCATGGTCTGCAATATATTCTAGACCCAACCCTTGTTTCCCATATTGTTCATTTGTTCAATGCTTCTCACCCCTTCCTCTATATATACCTCGTCGAATCTCCCTTATTTCTATAAACACCACCTTTTTTTAAATTCCTATCGCCTTCCATCAAATCATTTGCAACGTTTGTCAATTCAATCTCTTGCATTTTGTGCTTAATTTTGAAACCCATCTCAAAATTCCCAAAAATCCTAATCTAAGTTCTCAAATTTGAAAAGGGTGGCCAGATAGTTAAAGAATCAATACTTTGTGGTCAGTAATCGGGAGATTATTAATAGTCTGTAAATCAAAGAACTTGTGAATTGTGAAATTAAAATATCTTCGAATATGGGTTTGGGAAAGTTGGTTTATGGAAATGATTATTTTTGCAAGATTAATTTGATTGAGAAAAAGTTCAATTGTTGAAGGTGTTGATTGAACAGTAGAGGTAAAAAGGGGATAAGGAGGAGGGATTGATGGCAGATCAAGTGTTTGAAGGTAGCCAACCGGTTGATCTCATCAAACACCCATCTGGAGTTGTCCCTACTATTTGGTAACTTCTTAACTGGTTCTTCTTTAAACGTGTGTGTGTGTGATATATGTTCAAGTTTTATGATTGAGCAACGAAAAAACAAAGGATAAAAGTATATGTTTCTGATAGTCTACACCAAGGTTCTAAATGATCTGAGGCGTGACATGACGGCAATGTCAAACCTCAAGTTGTATGATCCATGACGAATCATGATGTTTTTCAAAACGTGACTTAAGACGGCAATTTTTTATATATAAAAAAGAGAAATCACATAATTATAAATTTATATAAAATATATAGTTATATCAACCCCTAATAACAAAAACTTAACAAGAACTCAATAGTGTCATTTCCGATCTGAAAAAACAAAAAAAATGTGTCTTAAACAAAACTCGCGCCTTGGCACGCCTTGACCCGTTTTACTATGCGGCACGCCTACCATATCAATCATGAAGGCTTTCGAAACAGTGTAGCCATGCAGCGCGTCATGGCATACCTTGGCACGCCTTTTAGAACCATGATCTAGACTAATATAGACACATCACGTAAAACAAAATCATAGAAAAGTGGTCTTAGTATGCATTTTAATTTCCATGATGAGTGGATATCTCAAGATTCAAAAGATCGGAGAAAATAAAGAAACACCTCTTCCTTAAAATGAATGGGAATACATACATTGATTATTTTTACAATGTTTTTTATATATTTGTAGAAGCATAGTGTCTACTGTCAATCTAGACTGAAAATTGGATTTGAAAGCTATAGCATTACAAGCTCGAAATGCAGAATACAACCCTAAGGTATGTACTCTTTGGCTACTTGTTAATGTTGGAATCAAATTCGGATGTTTTTTTGGAAATTAATTATTAATATTTTTATCAGGTGAAGAACTAATTAAAAAAATATGATACCTTTTTTTCTCTGGTCAACATCATTCACTATTGTTCTTTATGTGTACTCAATCCAGCGTTTTGCTCCTCTTATTATGAGGATAAGAGAACCTAAAACTACAACACTAATCTTTGCTTCGGGAAAATGGTAAATTTTTACCTAAAGCTCTTATCAAACATGACTCTCATAATTGTCATATATATATATATATATATATATATATATATTATATATATATATATATATATATATATATATATATAGATATATATATATATATATGGTACACAGATTGTAAATTTATAACTTAGTATCAAGAAAATACCTTTGTATTCAAAGTATTTTGGTTGTTCTTCAGGTTTGTACAGGAGCCAAAAGTGAACAACAATCAAAATTAGCAGCACGAAAGGTACATGAATATTATTATACTCTTTTTATTTAAAGAAAAAAAATACAGAATCTTTACAAACATCAAACATTCTAGTATTTAATTTTTTTTTTTTGGAGATAAAGGCTAAAGCAATCAAATACTGTTACTATTCCTATTATTTTTTTTCTGTTTTATTGTATGCTTAAATACTTTATTCTTGTCCAGTATGCCCGAATTATACAAAAACTTGGTTTCCCGGCAAAATTTATGGTAAAAACTCTTATCAAAAACTTTGTTTTCCGGAAAAAATCAATCAATTAAATAATTTTGTGTAATTTTTTAGGATTTTAAGATTCAAAATATAGTTGGATCATGTGATGTGAAATTTCCAATTAGACTCGAAGGACTTGCATACTCTCATGGTGCTTTCTCAAGGGTAAGTTTCTTTTTAATTGTTTCACTAAACAAGCTCAACTTAATTTAGATAATTAATTGTGTTTAATTCATTTTAATTGAGTTTTTTGTGTAGTATGAGCCGGAAATATTCCCTGGATTGATTTATCGTATGAATCAACCTAAAATTGTGTTGCTTATTTTTGTTTCTGGGAAAATTGTTCTTACTGGAGCAAAGGTGAGATATGGCATTTTTCTTGATATATTTTAATAGTTTATGTTGTTTATTTTTATAAGCTTTTATGGTGTTTATTGTAGGTTAGAGAAGAGATGTACACTGCCTTTGAGAATATATATCACGTGCTAATAGAGTTCAGAAAGAATCAACAATAGTAATATTCAGTATGGGAGTGAGAGAACGAAATTGTATTTGGTTTCTATGCTAATTTACTTGTCCATTGAACAAATATCTTAACCGGAAGAATTTTATTGCATTTTAGTTGTATTGAGTAGGGTTTTTAGACAATTTTCTTGTTTAGCTTGAAAAGAATGATTTTGATAGAAAAGTTAGTAATGCCACAAACACACACTTTTGTGCCTTCTTGTGTTCAACAACCACACACCAAAAAAGTTTAAAAGATATCTACAACTTTGGTCAATATTATATTATTTTATCTACTAATTCAGATATTTGAATTCCAAAATAATTAATATAATCTAATTCAAATATTAATTACAACTTAAACCCCTTAATTTTTCTAGTTTCTAACTAGACAGAATTAACAAACTAGTCTCTCATAAATCGTCCTTGACATTTGAGCTTAGATTATGCTTTGTGTGTACCCAAAATGCTCATGCTTAATTAGAAATATCACTAACTTGTTGTGTCAATGGTCATATTGTCACACCCCCAAACTAGAACGGCGGAAACGTTCTGGGGTGGAGGACTTCAGGTAAGTATCACAACACATGCAATATAGTAATCAAAGTACAAACAACCATTGCATTAATAAGTATAAGTTTTACATAAGTGTTTAAACATTACATATTCAAACACCAAAGTAGGTACAGTAGAAGACAAGAGTCGTGGTACGGTACTAGGTAGTCTTCTCAAAAGCTTCGGGAGTGTACCTGTCTACTGGATTCCTGATAATACAAGTTATTTGGAAAGAGTAGATCAGCATTTAAGCTGGTGAGTTCATAAGTATTTTAGTTCTGTTAAGTATACCCTAAGTTCTTTGGATAAGTTCATTGGTTCCTCCAGAAAATCCTATATTTCCTGAGGTGATAGATTGATAACCTCAATAGTTTCCCTCTGTAATTACTTAGTTTATACTGATTATATATAACCCAATATCGAATGGACAGTTAAATGGGTGTATCTGCCCTGAGCCCACAAAAAAACAAGGAACAGGAAGTAAGGCGGAAGTCACACATTTCACTGTCAATCGGATATTACTTATGTATAACTCTGATGTAATAACTAATGAATTATAGAATTAACCACTAAAGGTCCTTTGTGTTATACTAGTTTAAAGAGATTGAATGACCAAGTTCCATTTGATAAGTAGTTTAATTCCATAAACCGTTTCATTTGTAACAGTGGTTTAATCCCATAAACCGTTTCATTTGTAAAAGTGGTTTAATCCCATAAACCGTTTCCTTTGTAAAAGTGGTTTATTCCCATAAACTGTTTCCTTTGTAAAAGTATTCTTAGTTATATCAGTTCTATAGTAAAAACCTTAGTATTAATCCTGGAAAATATTATATTATCCATAATAATGCATTGTGGTTTTAAATGTTCAAAATCAGAAGTACAAGTATATTTACCGTACTTGATTTCATGATACATAGTTTTTACTGTAAGTAAAAACTACATAAGGTATATTTGGTCGGGATGTAATTATATTTACTTACTGTTTTAATAGAAGTATATTACTTAGTAATTCACTCGTTGTTTTATCCATGTGAGTTATATTAACCATACTAATATGACTGATATGCCTGATGCGACGTTCTTCAGGCGTCGGAAACGGTATGATATTTGACACCCTAGGCCTGCCGGCCAAACTGTAGCGAACAGTAAAGGTGCGGGATTGTCAGTCTCATATAGATCTATACACAAATTCACGCTCTCCCTACAAGAGATTCTGGTTAATAAGTCAGGACTTAAGGTCGTACTTAGATAAGTACACCATGAAGAGTCTCACAAATTTATTGTTTCAACGAGATTTACGATGTATTATTACCCCGTGATTGCTAACCCTGGTACTCTGTATCGTACCTTTGTTAATGCAAACCCGGTATGATGTATTATTACCCCGTGTTTGCTAACCTCGGTACTCTGTATAGTACCTTTGTTAATGCAAACCCGGTATGATGTATTTTTACTTCTTTAATATATTATCCTTATATTAAAAGTATTATACATATATTGGTATAGGTAAATGAATTGTTGGTAATTTCCTTGGAAAGTATACAATCGTGAATCATACTTGTGTATTTAGTTCTGAATCATAAATTATACCTATTATAATTTATATGTTCTATCTGATTAGCATGATTTCTCATGGATGAACACCTTTGCTCAGCATGATACAAAGGTAATGATACCGAAAGGAGTAACCTTTTATACTCATATATGTATAATATATATATAATTAAGAAGGAAACTACCTTCGGACAAATAACACAACCTTAATTCCACATCCAAACAAGGAAAAGGAATTAAGATAATCCATTAGTCCTAAGCCCTTCAAATCTTATTTATATATTTATACATATATAAACATGATTTTGGCATTTATAATTTGAAATAGTTTTAAAAACCTTTTTCAAAGAATTTTAACGGAGTTTACATGACTTTAAAGATTTAACATGGCTTTAAGTTATTTTGGAAGTATTTGGTAATCCTTGAAAGCACAAGGAAACCCTTTGTGTGATTATTATCACATACAGTTATTAACACAATTTAATATTGTGTTAAACTTGTATTCCCCCCCCCCCTAAAAAGCATTTAAAAACCATTAAAAAGGTAAATTATAGGGGTATGAACTCACTTGATAAGTGGTGATTTGGGCAGCGTTTCGTTTCTATTGATGATCTTTCTCGAAGAAACCGCGAGTTTTTGAGTAAAAACCGGCTTTATGCGGACAGCACTTCGACTGGAAAGAGGGTATCTTTTCGAGAATTCCGGGGCTCGGGGGCTTGCTTCGGGTTTTAGACACGATATCGGGGCCTTGGGGGGTCGTGAGAAAGTTTACGGGGGTGGAAAATGTGAAAAAGGGTGAAAATGGGGTGAAAATGGTGAAGTAGCCGGGAAGTCTCGCATGCCTTATATAGGCCGCAGCCTCGGGATCCGAAGCAAGGAGGGGCTGCCGCGTGTTCGGACAGGTGGCGAGGCGGGGGCTTCGGTTCGAACAGCTGGCTCGCAGGTGGTAGCTTCGGACTGGACCCAACTTCGGTCCAATGGGAAGGCTCCACGAAGATTCGAGGGGTGTCTGAGGGGTGTCCGGGGGTGTCTCATGCGAAGGTGTCCGAAGGTGAGTGGACCGCGGCTTTGGTCGAATCAGAAGGCGCCACGCGAGACTGCAGTCCAATCAGAAGACGCCACGTGGAGGCTGCATGCGAGGGTGACGTGTCCGAAGCCACCTATGCGAAATTGCCCTGTTTTCAAGGTTTTCTTGATTTTTGTGCCAAGAACTTGCGAAAATCATAACTTTCGTTTAGACTTCGTCGGCTGATTTTGAATTTATTTTTAATATTATTATTTTTAACAGACCGGGACAGGAAATCCGTTAAAAATTCATAACTTCTTCATCCGACGTCCGTTTTCGTCTGTCTTTTTACCGTTGTGCTACTTTTGACGAGACCTTTGATTCTCGTTTAAGTTGCATCGGCTAAATATCGATCGATTTATATTTCGAATTTTTAGTTGTCTACTGCTAAACTGAAACTTAGAAAAATCATAACTTCCTCATACGAAGTCAGATTTTTACGTTCTTTTTATGAACGTTCTCGGTTTAACATATTCTACAACTTTCATTTAGAATGTTAAGGCTAAAAAGCCTTTTATCGAAAATTCACTTTTTTTTACACTGAACAGTGTTTTGCCGGTTTTGTCACGGATTTTCGATTGGTCATAACTTCTTCGTTATAACTCGGATTCCAGTGTTCTTTATATTTTTGGAAACCTTGTTACAATCTCTACCACTTTTGTTAATCCCAATTACGATTATTGATCAATTTATTTTTGACCTAAATTTGACTGGTGTCACATTATCCCCCCGTTAGAGGGAATTTCGTACCGAAATTAAGTCTAAAGTGATACTCATGGACTAGGTCTAATATTCCCTTTCCCAAGTGAATTCAGGTCCCCGGTTTGTAATCCAGCGAACCTTCACTAACGGGATAAGACTTTGCTTGGTTCTTTAGATTTCCCTATCCATGGTTTCTATTGGTTCTTCTACAAAGTGTAGACTTTTATTTAACTTGATTTCATCGAGTAAAATAACAAGTGTTTTATTGGATAGACACCTCTTTAGATTTGATATGTGAAAGGTGGGATGAATGTTATTTAGTTTTTGTGGTAGTCTAAGTTTATAAGTACAAGACCAATTCTGGTAAGAATATCAAATGGTCCTATGTACCTTGAATTTAGTATTCCACGCTTTCTCAAGCGTATCTTGTCCTTCCGGGGTGAGACCTTTATATGACAAGGTCATCAACCTGGAATTCCAAGGGTTTTCTTTTATCGAAGCCGTAGCTTCTCTGATTAACTCTGGAAGCTTTATGTCGCTTCCTCATTCGTATTTTGTTTTTAGTAGTTTCTCGGATGAATTCCAAATCAGCGAAGGTGTTGTGTGGAAATTGGATCTCTAGCTAGTTGCTTATTACCTAATTTAGTCCAGTGCAGATAGGATCTGTACTTGTAACCACAAAAGGTTTCGAATGGAGCAACTTTAAATGCTAGCGTGATAAAGGACTCGACTAATTGGTAAATGGGTATCCCATTCTTTACCATAGTCGATCACATGGGCTCATGACTACTCTAGTTCCCAGAGATTTTTGAGTGACTGTCTGAACTGGGAGATGATTCTATTATCTCAGCGGAGATAACAGATATTGGAATATTGTGCGCTCACACGTTCTAGTTATCTTCTCTACTTGCCACATTTTCAGGTTTCAAGGCTTCTTGTTGAGCCTCCTTACTTTGTGTGGACATATTTGAATGGGTTATCATAGTCAATGATTGGCTCTACGACCTGGGTACTTTTTCCGACTTAGGGTGTCAGCTACTATATTGGCTTTGTCAAGATGATAACGAATTTCAAATTCGTAGTCATTTAGTAGCTCGACCCATTGTCGTGGTCTCACATTGAATTCCTCCTGGT